TATATATATATATATATATATATATATATATATATATATATATATATATATATATATATATAGTATAGTAGTATATATATATATATATATATATATATATATATATATATATATATATATATATATATATATATATATATTCAATGCAGATTTTTATATTCAATGCAGACCGTCTATCCTTAAATATAGTAGAAACGCCGGCAGTATATATGAGCATAGTGTAACGTTTCATTTTTATACCCTTTTGCAGAGACAAATGCCGGCGTCTTGTGGTCCCATGGGGCTCATGGCCTTTGGGATTTGTACGGTATTGAAATCGTTTATGTGGTATGGCGTGTGTACACAAGAAACATATTCCTTCATTGCGATATCGGGTATCATGTACGGCGGATTTATTCAAGTTGCAGCGGGCTGGTGGGAGGTACGTTAACGCAATATGTCTGTGGGAAACCGGATATATCAATACCATGCTCGCCATTTTCTAAGCTAATAACTACATCTGTTAATAGTCAAATGTTGGTATGGCCGTGATCCTGTCCGTACACGATAGTGTCCATTAATAAATTGAGATTATGCCGAGTTGTATCGTGTTCTCGTATTCCTTCGAGTATATGTTATACTTTGTAATATTTGGTCTTGGCCACTGTAAATGCACGTAAGTCGGCGTTGTGCACAAGCGCAGACGAAGGTCCCAATCTTCAAACATACATTTGTTCATTAGTTCTATAAACCTGCGTTTATCTTTGCTCTAGTTGTTTCATTCTACCGCGGCCGTTTATACGAATATACGAAGTTTGGTTGAATTGCTTCTCATCCAAAACGCTTATGTAACCTGGACCCCTTCGGCGTTTACTGTGTTTGCGTTCTGGACGGGTGGGTGAGCATCACACAACTTTATGGAAGCGCATGTGGACAGTACAGTGCAATATCCATGCAGGTATCTGAGTATGCAAAGAAGAACAATTTAATAAATGTAGTCATCTCAATCACACCTCTTCATCTTCACTTTTGATATTGCATGTCTGTCACGACGCGAAGCTGGTTAGCGGAAGGACTTTTATTGCCACGGCCAACTTCAATTTCGGAGCCTTCTGGCTCGGCATCAGTCTATTTGATTTGTTGAGGGGTATGTCTGTGCACCTTGACTCTCCTCAATGTAGTGTAAGGATGCAGTACCAAATATATATAAATATTTAATATATGTATGTATACATATACATGTCTACATACATTCATATATATGCAAATATCTATATGTATATATACATATATATATGTGTGTGTGTGTGAATGTGTGTGTTTGTGTATATAGACATATGTTTATACATGTGTATATACATACATATATATATATATGTAGGTGTGTGTGTGTTTGTGTTTGTGTATTTATTTCAGCATATAAATAGACATATATATATACATATGTATATATAGATAGATATATATATATATATACATATATATTATATATATGAGTGTTTGTATGATATGTATTAAATATATTGTTTCTGCTATATGCATTATGTATTATATATATATATTTGTGTGTGTGTGTGTTTTCATATATATATATATATATTTATATTTGTATTTATATATATATATATATATATATTATATATATGAGTGTTTGTATGATATGTATTAAATGTATTGTTTGTGCTATATGCATTATGTATTATATATATATATTTGTGTGTGTGTGTGTGTTTTCATATATATGTTTATATATATATATATATATATATTTATATTTATATATATATATATATTTATATATATATATATATATTATTTGCATTCAGTGTCATAGAGACAACTTTTACATCACTATCTACCAATGCTACTGCTGCTAATTGCCGAATCTCCATCTCATAGGTACTATGGACATTAAAGTTGATCCCACGACAATGCCTTGGGGCTACTTCATATGGTCTATGGTCTGGTTTGTCCACACACTGGGCCTCACCTTGTGCACCCGATATACGATTCGGCCGTTGCAGTTGATGTACGTCAATTCGACATCGCTATTTCTCGTGCTAGGGTTAGCTAACTTCTGGCCCATATTCTGGCAAATCGGAGGCGTGATGGGATTTCTTTTGGGTCTCAATGCCATCGTAAGTTTCGTTCCTCCCTTCCTGTGACACACACATATATATATAGTATATACTATATACTATATACTATATACTATACTATACTATACTATACTGTACCATAGACTGGATTTGCCACTCTTTCATTTGTGTGGGTTATAATTTGTTGGTCGCAGGTCATACCTGATGTATGTTAACGTATTTGTTGGATTACGAATGTGCATGTGTATGCGTGCATGCAAGTGCGCACATGCTTGCCTCTGAGTGTATATGCATATCGATGCAGAAGCCGATGTTTCGTATGTTATGTTGGATCCTTGGGGACAAAATATGTACGTTGGGTTCAATTGCGTTGATCCATATGGATACACTGACGGTATGATATATATATTCGTCTGAATAGTGTGGTTATGCACCTTACCGCTACCACACGCCCAGTCCCACCATCGTAAAGACACGACGAATGCTATATGCACGAATGGATTGTGTAGTCATGGCAACAAGGGTAAACCCAAATATGCTCGTATGATATGAATGAAACTTGTATAGCGTATCAAAAGGATTTAATAATCTATTTCTAGGCCTCTGAGACGCTGAGAACACTGTACATGCTTACAGAATTCTCCCTGCTCTTATTTGTGAGCAACATCATCACTAGAGATGTTGTAGGTTACAATTGGCGTTGCATCACAAACTAGACGCAGTTAAAATAAGGAGTATCATGAAATGAAATCTTTAGCAGAAAATCAGACCGACATGAGACTAATCGAGAAATCCCCGCTACAATCCGAGTACCATCGTATGTTTGTTAACATGTATTTTGACTTCAACGCAGATAGTTGTACATTTTATTCATGGATAAATCAATATGTACAAACAAGTGCTCGTACGTGTGGTGTGTTAAGTCTACCGGGTCCTCACACCTGTGTCGCGAACCGTTCTCCTTGCATCCGAACAAATACACTGACACCCACTATTGCTGATCTATACTACAGTACATAGCCTACGCCGAGATTATCAACACAGTCTATGACAGAGATATCATTCCTCTTTGGCCTTGTCCGAAGAAGGTGACGATACTGGATTGATCTGTGCGACAAGCATTTATAGTCGTCCTACGTCTCTCTGGACCCATGCCACTCCCTGTTTATATGACCCCCCTCCCCCCCCCCCTCAAGAATATTTTTTCGCGGCCAACCCACGGATTATTTAAGTCAAAATTGTGCAATGCGTATTAGTTACATATTAGACAACCTACGAGCCTCATAATCCATACATAATAATAAAAGTACCGCTCATACGTATCGACTCACCCCCCCCCCCCCCCACATACACACCACTACCACCAGAACGAAGTCACATTATGGGTGTCAAGGGGCAATGTTTTCTAAAGTTAGTGTGTATACAGAGAGGTATCTTCTATTTGCCATATCCGGGAAAATATTGTGTTTATTCCAACACAACTCCGCAGAATACCACATAAACGTGATGTGGGATGAAGCACTTGCGTGAGAGAAGCTAAAAATTGATAACTATGCCTTAACTATACTAGCCCAGAGTATGCCCTGAAAAATATATAACTGATGACTATAACAGCCCAGAGAATGACCCGCAATAGAAGCAACTATCAGATATACCTACCCAGAGCATGATTCGCAATAGAGACATTACTGTTAACTATACCTGCCCAGAGAATGACCCAAAATAGAAACAACTGATAACTATACCAGCCCAAATAATGACTCGAAATAGATATATTACTATCAACTAACCCTGCCCAGAAGAAGACTCGAAATAGAGATATTACTGTTAACTATACCTGCTCAACAAATGACCCGAAATAGAAACAACTGAAAACTATACCAGCCTAGATAATGACTCGAAATAAATATATTACTGTCAACTAAACCTGCCCAGAGTATGACTTGAAATAGAGATATTACTATTAACTATACCAGACCAGAGAATGACCCGAATTAGAGATATTACTGTTCACTATACCAGTCCAAATAATGACTCAAATAGATATATTACTGTCAACTAAACCTGCCCAGAAAATAATTCGAAATAGAGATATTACAGTTGACTATACCAGCCCAGAGAATGACCCGAATTAGAGATATTACTAATAACTATACCTGCCCAGAAAATGACCCGAAATGGAAACAACTGAAACCTTTACCAGCCCAGATGATAACTCGAAATGATATATTACTGTCTACTAAACCTGCCCAGTGGATGAGTCGACATAGAAATACTTCTGTTAACTATACCATCACAAAGAATGACCCGAATTAGAGATATTACTGTCAACTATACCTGCCCAGAAAATGAACCGAAATAGAAACAACTGAAAACTAACCAGCCCAGATGATGACTCGAAATAGATAAATTACTGTCAACTAAACCTGCACAGAAGATGACTCGAAATAGATATATTACTGTCAACTAAAGTTTTAGGATTTTTACAACCAACTGGACCCCTTCTGAGACCTTCCTTAACAAAGTCAAAGAATCAGAGATTCCACTCTCTACTAATTTGAACGTTAACAGTTTAAAGGCAACACGGCACTTGAAGCCTGTGTACAAGAAATACAATCTACTAATGACACTACTGTTAAGAAGCGTCAGTCTCTAGCTAGGACTCTGTTCAATTACATAAAGTCCAAGCCCGAAATCTTTCAACCCCTGTTTTTAAAGGATTATTGAAAGATAATCCTAAAGCGTATACACATATAATGCGACTATTAAATAAGTCAGGTGTATCAAACGCACATGAGCGCACTTATGACACTCATGCAAAAGAAGGACAGGAGTCTGGAAACACTACAGACTTAGTGACCACGCAAGTGGATTCTCAACACCCTACCTTTATTCTGGAGGAGCAGAATGATGAAAACTTTCTTGCTTGGCTGACGAAAAACCATAAGCTGAAGCACCAGAACGTAGTAGACGCACTAAAAGATGCTAAGCGAAATGGGGTCGCGCACCCTAAACTGGCAACTTTAGTTGACAGAGTATATCAGTCATGTACAGACTGTGATCTCAATCAGATCAAGCGCTATGGGTTCGCACCACTTAAGAGTGTGACCGAAAATGTTCCATGGCGCAGGGTCATCATTGATCTGGTTGACCTGCCCACGTCCGAGCACACAGGCGACCGTTAAGTATCCCACTTATTTGATGTGGCGTCACGGTTTAACTTGCTCTATCCATTAAAGGATAAGAATACGCAGACCGTGGCAGAATTATGTTGCCAAGTTGCCAAGTCTTTGCTGACCACGGGTGGTCAGGTTTTATGTGCACTGATAACGGTAGTGAGTTCTGCGATGACGTAATGGAATCGCTAGTACTTGTATCAGGCATATGCCATAAGAGAGGTGTGCCATATACACCGCAAACGCAAGGCGCGAATGAAACGCGCCATAGAAGACTTAAGTTATTCTTGCGTACTGCATTAACGGATGATGCAGATGATTGGCCGTACCACCTTAAGTGGGTACAAACACAGATGAACGAGTGTGCTGATCCGGTTACAGGAACTACACCCGCTTACTATTTTCGTGGCAGATATAGTGAGTTACAAATACCCTTTAACAAGGACGAACCTGATCTCCATGAGTTACCATGGTTAGAGAAGCTACAACGTATCTATAACGTTGTATATCCATGCTTGCGAGAAATACGCAATATAGCCTTAGTAAAAATGCGAAAGCGTTGGAACACTACCAAGAAGATAGCAGAGTATCAGGTCGGTGACAGAGTTAACATCCGTCAACGTAATTCCGATGCCACTGTATTAACATCTAAATGGATAGGTCCATATATAATCTCTGTAGCAGACACTAAAAGTGCAACGTACGAGGTAAATAACCCCGATGGTTCTAGTGCGCTTAATATAGGCACAAGTCGTATTCCGACTACAGAGAGTATACTCGTAAGAAGACATGACTCTAATGCCCCTCTTGATCGTTCTGAATTAAGGACATTACATCGAGAACGGATAAGGGAGGCTATACATACTAACGTACACGCTTTATAGACGGTACAATAGCTGAGTTGACTTCAGATGCTTCCGATAATCAAGACTATTTAAAAGCCTTTAATCGAAAATGGCGTAAACGCCTGTATAAGTCACAAGCTGAAAAAGATAGCATGTTTCCATCGTCTGAAGGCACGGCAGTTAAAACTTACCCGCCTACAGCATTTATCCCGAGCTTTAATGCTCACCCTTCACATGTGCTTAAGACACTGAAGCGTAAGAAACGTCCAGTTGACCACCACGGACCTACTGGGCCTAAGCCCAAAACTCACAGGGTAACCGAGAAGGCTTAACTTCACCGCCTGAGAAACACAACTATACGTTATGCTACTTAATGTTTTCGACCCGTTATTTTTCCTTTCTCGCTTTTTGACCCATAATCAGCTTGAGTGAGCAACTTGCTTCTCCTGGGTCTCAAAGCTGGGTGGAGACTGTGTAATAGCGGGGCCTCCACATTAGACTCTATGTTATAAACGTACTCTTAAGCAGTACGTAAACTATAAACGAACTCTTAATAGTACAAGGAACTTAAGATTCCTAAATGGTTTTTAACGGTTTTATCAAATAATACCTTTTCCATTTTACATATCAGATATTTGGACAAGGCCATTAAAAGGCCCCAGTAAAATACCAAACATAAGATTTGGTCTAGTTCTATTAATAGAACTATATATACTTTCCAAATCTATTTATATCTGAGTACTTCGGTAGCGAGATGGCTCAACCGAATATAGGTTTCTAGGGACTATTAACGTTACCTGGTTGATCCTCCGATCAGCCAACTAGATGTGCCAGTCCGATGAAGGCTAAGTCGGTATTTCTTGACAAGTGGCAAGTTATTGGTTAAGACAATAACTAAGGACATCAAGAGTTTTTATTTTTATTTTTCTAAAGATAGGATTTTATGAGTCTCTCGGATTCGCCCCAATGAAACATACCATAGTTTCTAATAGAGCGACAACGAAACACTAAATAAAATCCCTTCGGCGGAAACAGTACTAAGAGGATTATATATATAGGCAATGTCTCAGCCTCACAATCCCTCAGAGTATTGCTGTTTTCACGAGGCATACCTAACTTTACTAAAAGACTCATTTCGTTTATTTGCTTTGAAATTAACACTATACTTAGATTTTACCTACGCGTTTAATTACTCTAAGGCGTTAGTATCGCCTTGATAGACCGAATCTTACAGCTGCACGCATGAACGAGCGCCAAAATTCTTGCCCGCAGCATGAATGCACTACTGAGCCCCCTTGTCAACTTCACTAACGCAGACATCCTCCGATCTACCGCGGACCGTCTCCAGAAGGCTTCCAACCACAACATGATGCAAATCTCTTCTCACCTAACCCGCGAATCCCGACGAACACTAAAGAACCAGCGCGTGCGGAACCCGGACGACTTCATATACCAACGGTCTTCCGGACACAACCATCCGAGACGATGGTTACCAATACGCAGCCTCAACCTTTCACGATTGACTCTTCGACGACAGGCAACGATATAGAAATGGCTGACATCGTTAAAATAGAGAGCCCAGTAGTATTGACCGATGATGAACAATGTTAGGACCATTGAGTGTTACATGAGGATGACGCTCTTCAACCCACAAGGACTCAACATGGACAACGCAGCATATACAGATAAGTGTTTGAACGTTATATCGATTTTAAGTCAGGTTGATGTTATGTGTGTGGTTGAAACCTGGCATAACACCACATTTCTTAATCATACACGCTCGAACACACACTACCATATCCTACACCACACCACACAGCATAATATCTTACACCCTTCACACTGTGGTATTGGCATCTTTTCCAAACACCACCCATCGAATTTTCAACTTGTACACTCTTCACTGTACGCGGTGTTCTTTGTGTGCTTTGGTGTTCATATGGCCATGTTCTACCTTCCACTCAAATCACTTGCTGAAGAAGACGTTAGGCGATACACGGATCCCCCCGAGATTGGCGATTTCCGACCAGATGTCGTATGGGGAGATTTCAACTTCAAAGCCCGGAAGTGTGACCACGCATCTACAAATCACGGACTACGTATGGAAACGATTGAGACTACCCTGCGTAATACGTGGCACTTGGACCACCTCTATGCTGGCGGCTCAACTGGTACAGAACATGCGTGTCATCGGCCTACCGCCCCTGCCTCCCTCCAGACTTATAAGCTAACGGACTACGGTATCTGTGGTGACCACACCTTTGGACTCGATCTCCAGATACTTCCCACGAATCAAATCCATCGGC